GGTCAGTTTGGATCAACTATTCTGGCTGTGCCCCCTCCCAGTTTCTTGTGCGCCTGGCAGAGCATGGGAAGCTGAAAAATCCTTGACTAGCATAAGCAGTACTCAGCAACAACTAAAAACATCAGCATGTTATCAACATTCTTCTCCTACTAAATCCAAAACACAGCACTATGCCTGCTGCTAGGAAGAAAATTAACTCTATCCCAGCCGAAACCAGGACATGGGCAAACCATATCCTTTGACATCAGCAACTGTATTGTCTTTCTGGGGCTTCAGACTATTTTGCTTATATCTGCAGACAGTAGTGACAATGTTACTCAAAAAGACCAATCACTGTTTAAGGGGGTGGAATCAGAATACCTGATTCCTGTTAGGGAATTCAGGTACAAATTTCATCATCTAGAACTGACTAACCAAGAAACCTGGAGCCTCTTGAAAATGGCTGCACAATATTCTGGTATTTGGAATACCATTTTCTTGGCATATAAAATATTCAAGCCAAAACAAAGAGCAGGACCCTTATCTGCTGTAAAAATAGCAAGGCATTGGACCTCAAATAGTTGGACAGCATTTCTGCAGAAGGAAAATAGAAATATGTTTTGTTATTCAAGCTGGAGGAAAATAGAAGATGTTTAGTTGTATGAAGAAATCAGGAAAGACAGACATGCTCTGGGAGAAGAAAAATCAGAAAAGTAGGTTTACTTGTCAGTAGTCAGGGTTGATTGGAAGGCTGATTAAAAATAAAGGTGATAATATCTTTTAAAATATTACATATGTGTTGCTTCTGGGAGAAAAGATCTGGGTCGGTCCTCTGGGCCATCTGCTAGCAGGAAGGAATCTATTGATTTATTGCTGAGCCGGAATGGAGTGAGCCGTCTGAAGTTGTTTGGAGAATATGGGATCTGCACTCGGGCCCTTTGTGATGGTACCACTGTATCTTCACTAGATAACCATGGTGAGAACTTCATGTAGACACTTTGATCATCATCAGCTGAAAATACTGGGTTATCAATTCCTAAAAAAAATTCATGAGTGACAAATACAATTAATCAAAATAATTTCTTGGTAATACAGCAAGATGCTTTGTAAAAGGAGAATGGCTATAATGGGAAAAAAACAGGCCAATACGTGCTGATATAGGTGTGACTAGGCCCATACACAGACCATTATACAAACATACGTTGCTCTTTCTACCTTGGTTATTGCTAGCCATTTTGGATTCCTATTAAAGAGAAAAATTGAATATTATATCCAATATGCAGTTATGTTTGGGATATCTGGAGACAAAAAATGAAATCCATAAAAGAAGAAATCAGTCAGCAAATTTGAAGCAAAATAAAGCACAATATAAAATAACTGCAGAAAATTCAAACCAAACCCATAAAAAAGAAACAAAAGATGGAAAAAAAAAAATGCAAAAGCATAAATTGCACAACACAAGGAATGAGACATGTATGAGGGAGCTAAAGCAGGCCACAGAACAGTCAAAACTAAGTTAAAGGAGTCTTTTAATATAGATGTCAAGTTCATAGTGTTTGAACAGAAAAAGAAATTTTGAAAATGAGTCTAGGTCTGCATCTTGCCACCCACTTATTTCTGGATCAATTTCTGGATGTCTTTATACATTCTCAAACACAGAATTTGTCATGGAACAGTGAAAAGGCTGTATCAGCATGTCTGCCAAAAGAGTACAGACACAAGCATTTTTCTTCACTGCATGCACCATGTTACATATGAAGTATACAGTGGCATGCTGAAAATTCAAACACAAGTGCTAAAGAGAAACACTAAATTTTAAACTTTGCAAATCATATATGATTTCAGTTCTATATAGTGATACACTTTCAATCTGATATTTTGGAGCCTTTCAGGGCTGGAAATCAAGTCCAACAAATGCTCCAGGAATGCTGCAGATCTGCCCTTTCCAGTGACTTCTATGAGCCTGTAAGGATCTGAGCGAGTTTTGAGTTTAAGAGGAGAAATCCTGCCTGAAAGAAGCAGCATGAAATTTATCACAACAAGGTGCTTGAAATGCAAGTAGAAAACAGTTCCAAAGGACTTGTATTGACTGGTCTTGTGAGGTAGGACAACTCTACAATAACATTTTCTGTTGCTAGAAATAATTAGTGATTTTAGGTTTGGTTTAGGCAGTCATGTTCACAACTTCTATCAGTAGCAAACCTGATGCTCTCCATACCTCTGGGTATCCAAAACCTGTTATCTGTTAACATTAATGTTAAACAAATATATTTTCTAATTGAACACATAAAATCAAAACAAAACAAAAAATACAGGTTAAATCAGCAGCATTTCTAATATTTTTTTTAACATTTGAGGCAAAAAAACCTCTGTAGGTAATTAATATTTTTACCGGTAGGAGTATCTGTGAAATTTTGCTTCATCACATTAGCCAGAAAATCAGCTCCTTTGCCTAGATGCAAAGTTTCATAATCATTATTTTCTTCTGATTCGGAAAACTCCAAATCTGAAAAAAAAAAGAAAGTCCAATTTGATTAGAGATTTGTATCAGTTCTGATTGATAGAAAATGCTATTTCATGCTGTTTTGGTGCTGGCATAGTTATCAAAGATACATCTTTAACAAGGATCTAGATAAGGGCAAAATTTAATCAACAATTGTAGCACTGAAATGTGAATGTGAATGTATGTAGAGATTGCAGCTTAGATACCAATTACATCAAGAAACTCAACACAGGTTTCTGGCTTGCATTATTACCTAGTGCTATGATAGAGATTTCACTCTGTGGCTAAGCTTTTGGCTAACAGAAGTGTCTGCTTTCCTGGCACTGAAACAAACCAACCTATGACATGACACCACTGCTGCTGGTGTGTTTTGTGTCTTAAATGCTCACATGTTGAAAAATGTCATCCCATTACAATGACCAGTCACTGCATTTTCATCATTTGACAGAGGTCAGCATGAGTATCCTGAATGATTTCAAACCTGGTGAGGTCATTGCTACTTCTACTGCAGTAGAATCAGTTCTACAACAGCTGCTAAACCACTTGTTAAGACTGTCTTCCAATGAAGGTTTGGTGGTTTGTTTGTTTTTTTTTTTTTTTAAGTAAAGGATGACATCTATACACAGTGTTCTTTAACAAGACAGCACTGAATGATCTGCTTTTAAGTATTTGGAAAGCTCTTCCCATGCAAAAAGGTTCTAGAATTTACACTTATTCAGCCAGCCTGTATTGCCCCTCTCAGTCAAGGAAAAGTAATGCTCAGAAAATGATTCAAAGAATATACATAAAGAAAAATATGTTTGCTTGGAGCTATTAAGAAAAGATGAATCCCTCTCTACTTCAATTCTTTTTGAGGTCAAGAGGTTGCATGCATAAACAGAGGAAAGAACACAAATAAGAGTTAGTTCAGTGGCTTTTAAACCATGCTTCAGTTTTTAAGTGGCACATATTGTTTTATAATTACATAACAGACATATTAGCATCCATCATGTCTTGCTATGACTGACATCAATGCCAAAAGATGGCTAAAAGATGAGATGAAAGAATTTGGGGCTTTACATGCAAACCCAACTTTTGCTAGGGATGCTCCCTAGGCCAGTCAAGTTCAGATTACACCTTCAAGGCAGACCTGTGTGTTAGATTTGTGCATGAAAGGTGAATCAGTGCTGCAACTGGCCTCTGACTATGTGTTCCTTTCAAAGCTACACTCTCCTTGAATTCTAATGTGCTTGCTTAGCATCAGCTCTGATTCAGACCTTTCTAGACAAATGGACCTTAACTCAGATCAGAATGTCATCTCAACTACTGAATTTTATGTGGCATGGTGCCCTGGGCAGTTATATACTTCTGTGATGAAAAAGAAAAATGTTAGCAAAAGTTGTTCTGTGCGGCTTATCCAAAAGGAAGCTGAAAGTTCATCTATGTTGTAGCTACTGCATTGTTTTGTTTTCAAAATTTAAAAGTGATATTTTAAAAATATGAGTAAAAACGCCAATTAAAATTTGTTTTGTCATCCAGCTGCCTAGAAAAACAACTTCTAAATCATTGAGACCCTGCATTTAAGCATGGAGCAGATCCCCATTCTGAATTCTGAATTACGACTAGAAAGAAGTCCCTTTTTAATACCAGCTTCACTGTTGCATATCATGAAATTTTTCAGTGATGCTTTACTGACAACATAGCTGGTAAGATGCAGTTAATGAAACTGGTCTAAGAGTCTTTTTACCTTTTTCCTTCAAAGTAAAATCTTGTACTGGATTTTCTGAAGGTATTTTTCCATTTGGTATAACATTGCTGTTTCGCTGAAAGAAAACAAAGTAAGTTACCAAAAACACTACCACCATCAGATAGCAATGGCAATGACATCCTTTGAAATCATGAGTTCAGCAGCATAACCCTGAAATCTGTTGTAATCTTTGCTTGAGACTCAATATGGGCGTCATTAGTTTCCCCCCGCTACACTCCACTACAGGAAAAGAAAGGAACTTTGGCTCTTTGTATGCTGTACATTCCCTTGTAGTTTCACGCAAATTTTGTGGAACGCTCTATGCTATAGTGCTACCCTGCTACTTTTACCCTGCAACATCTCCCTGCAGTGTTGTAGCAAGGCTCAAGGTCTGTTGTTTTTCAAGTGATCAAAAAGCTCTTACGCAGAAGAAGGGTCCCAAAGCACAGAGAAAAGCAGCATGTGAGAAGATGCCCCTTGAGTTATCTCATAGTTTAATCTCTTCTTGCTTAAGCCCTTTAAATTCATGAAGTTCTATAGGACAGAGATAAATGCAGGACATAGGACCCTTCAGAGTCCTCCCTGCCCTCCCCACCCCTTAGTTTGTATAATAGGTGGCTACATCTGGGTCCTTGTGAAAGTATTTTACCCTTTTTTGTCCCCGGTCTCGCTTGTGGATTTTATTGAGCTTCTTGGAATGGTTTATTCCTAGTTTGGTACTCTTGAAAGATTCTAAGCGCTTCCTCATTGTCCTATGGAAAATCTCCTTGTCTTGTTTCTCATCTTCATTGTGCATGATCTCATGTCGACTGTACAGGTGTTTGTGCTGTTGCCAGGAAGGGAAGACAATATTAATTTATTTAGAATTATAGCTGGAAGCCCTGAATCAATGCATTCAATCAGTGTCATGCAAATGTAAATAACTCCATAAAAAAGAATGAACCAAAGACTAGTCTGAAGGCATTAACGAAACTCCCATTTTTCTTTCTCTTTCTCCACCATGAAACAGGTATAAGTCCAGGAATTTTAAGTATGTAAGAGTGACTGCCATTCAAATTAGACCTCTCCCTACAAGTGTCTGAATCACTTCAGTTGATACATTCCATTTAATCCTGCTTCAGAAACTATATTGGACCCAGTTCTGCATTCCACTGGCCCCAGTGAAATCAAAGGCACTAGTTCTGTTAAAGAGGCATGTTCATAAATGAGAAAGAATATAGACAAAGAGCCTATCTTCCTCAAGGGTGCAGATTTTGCAGATGGGTTCTTTCCTTTTGAGTTTCACTCCCAAGTTTTGGTTCCTAATGTCTCCTAGTTTTAGACTGGAAAACAGTCCAATGCTAGCCTTCTGCTCTCACCTCCTGCCTGGGTTTATACAGGTACTGTTGTAGGGTGTGATGAGCGACTGTGTCTTCTGTGTCCCGGATACTTTTCCTTCTCTGCTCTAAAGCTTGCATGTCAAGGCAAACTGGTCCAGCTTTTTCTCTCCTGAAGAAGAATAGAATATAGAAACAGCAGTTTTAAAAATCGGTATTTACTGAAGAGGAAGAAAAAAACGGGAAAATGTGGAACAAGAGGGAGAAATTAAGATAAAATTTAAAAAAAAAAGGAAAGGTCAAAATTTGCTAAATGAAAATGAATGAACAAATACATAATGGGAAATGCAAAAAGATTATTGTTTTTTGTCTTTCAGGTGGGTATGGCATTAATTTCTTAGTTTAGATGACACACGGTCTGTTCAGTGAAAGAATCATGAAAGAGTTAAGGAAGGAGCAATTTTTTTCCTTGCCTCTCTCCTGACTTTTTCTGGAGCAGACACAGAAATGACATCTAACCCTGTCTATAGCAGTTGGTGAACAAAAGGCACATGAAACAACTCTAATGTGGATGTCTGCTTCATCTTACCAGCCTTTACTGCAAAAATTTGTGTGTAAAATGCAACAATATGTATGTATACCCATTTTATGTGGGAGAAAAGATTAACTGAAGTTCAAAAAAGTAGTGAATGAAGCCCCTGTAATTTGCATTTTTCAAAATGTATAACACTGTCTCCATTTCGTCACATATAAGATAAAAATTACACTCCTCCCCCACCCCCCCATCAGTCCACATTACTTACAGTAAATAAGAGACAGAGCTTTCCACAGTACTTGGACGTGGGGTGCTGAAATCCACATTTACCATGTTGTCTGTGCTTGGAGAACGTATAAATGCCAAGGAACCTCTACGTTCTCCCTGGCCACAGAAAGAAAAAAGACATATTACAGCTGTAAACACCTCGGGAAAAATGTGTATCAGAAGATGCGGATAATTTGTGAGGCTGCTGTACGCAAATGGCACAAGAAGCAGGGGAGAAGTTGTATTTAGGTAATGAATACAAACCACTTTTTGGTTTTATGGTTCCTTTACATTGGGTGACATTATCCCAATGAACAAAACTAGGACAAAATCTATTCTGCTCTTGTAAATTGATTTTGAGGAGATGAGTGATTTCTTAGGCCTCGATCTGTTTGCAAATTATGTCCTTGCACTTTTGCAGTCTAACTCTTTTCTCTTCACAGACCCTTTCAGGGATGAACCTTTTACTTTGTACCACATTGGAAACCAAGTACATAGGGATATCTATGCAGATTTTTATGACTTGACACATCCCTGCACTAACAGTAGTGTTTTCAAAGATACAACACCAAGTTTTCTGTTCTGTACCAGACTGGAAGCAGCAAATATTAAGTGGTGGTAGAAGTCTACAAGACTATTTGATGTGGCATGAAGAGATGAGATACTGAACAGATGAGATGAGATTTACTTTCAGTTCTAAAACTAGTGTCACAGAAGTGAATTGCTGGAAAAGCTCAGATTGATGTCTTCACAGTTTTCCCTAGTGCTAGCGTGATCTCTTGATTAGGTGAAAGGTAGATGTTGAGTGGCCTTGTGGTTACATAGGCTGAATCCACCTATGGTTTTGAACCACAGCAGAGAGAAATCACATAGCAGGTCTCTAAATTTTAAACTGTAATAAAGAATACACCAAGAAAAAAATCTCCCTTGCAGAACATTGGAAGAGATTTTATCTACATTTCTCCAACTTCAACTATATTGTGTCCCCTTTACATTTTTATATTCATAGAGCAAATCAAACAAATGTTTCCTTTTACTGTGGTAGCCCACATACATGTTACAGTAGTATGTGTTGGATCAGATCAGTGGCATTAAGTACACTCTGGCCTCTGTAGGCAGAAAACTTAAGAGAAAAAAAAGTAAATTCTGGGTCAGCATCATCCTGTCCATTTTCTTAAGCACATCTGACTTTCTTTTCAAATCAAGTTTACTGTTTCATACATATATCATACCATATCATCAGTGGAGGAATTTTAGCCAGAAGTTGTTATGAACTGTAAGTATTTTAAGTAAATTCTGTTCACTTGCTCTGGATTATTTTAATTTTTCCTGGCTTATGCTCTCCCCTCTCAACTGTAAGGAATTTATTTAGGTTCAGACTGAACTCTCTCAAGGTCTTGTTTATTGTACATGTGCAGCATAACAGCAGAGCTGAAAAAAGAAAAATTCATAAAATAGCTTTTAAACTCCTCAGTTTCTTGCAAGAGAGAAGAGAGTGAGTAGCTGGGGGAGGCAGATCTTTACTCCTTCTGGAAGAAATGGCTTCAATTTCAATGTCAGCTTGTAATTCACAGATATTTATCTCAAAGATGTATTTCAGAAATCAAGTGAAACAGTGAAACAGTGTTTCACTGAAGCAAATATTAACGTGAGAAAGGTGGAATGACTTTAGGATGCACAGCTCATGACTAATCAGGCATATTAACATAACTAATTTTCACTGGAAGAAACCATGTTGCAAATCTTCCATAGAACCTGGAGAACTTTTAATTCTTTGTCTATTATTATCAAATCAGTAGACATTTGCCAATAGAATTTGTCTGGAAGACACAATATACGCAAATAGTATTTGGACTAGGGTAGCAAAAGTCAGTTTCCTTGTGTTATGAACTGTACTAAGGTATAATGAAAAAGGTAACTCTCCTAAAAAATCAATAATCTAATTTAATCTGGCATTACTATATGGGATTCAAGACACTATTGGGTAAAGATTCTGGGGCTAAATCTGCATGACTTAGTGATCTATAGAGCCCTTTGCAACTGTTAAAGAGAAAAAAATACTGTAATGTATCTACTGAACTGATTCAGCAGTGAATCTGAACATGAGTCTTGTGCTCGTCAACATCAAAGTCATTATCTAACTTTCTTCCTCTCAGGTGTGACCCAGAAATCACCATGAGAAAGAAAATTAGTTCTTGAGCTCAAATGGTCTGAAAACTGAATGGGTAATTTACAAAATCCCAAAAGGAAGTATTTGCTTATCTTGTGAACCATTCCCCATTTTTCACACTAACATAATTTATGAATTTCAGCTTATTTTCTGAATTCAATCTTTGAAATTCCATGATTCACTGGAAAAAATATGACTGGCTGTAGCTCATTTTCAAAAAAAGAAAAGAGATTAGTAGTAGTAGTAGTATAGGTTGTAGTAATAGTGTTCATTTTAATTAAAGAAATGAACTGGTTTATCACCTAGCTGTGAGAATGAGTTCACTTGGAGATTACGGGCATAGACAGATTATCACTTCAAAGATCACTGTTTAAAATACTCCATTTAAAACTATCCTCTACACTGCATGTACACTGCACATTTCTGGTGATTTGACGTAAGGTGGCCAGTTCCATACTGAAGAATATTAGGAATTCTTACACAGTCTGTTAACATTGCTCCAGTCTGGGAATGGTACTCCTGCAGAAGGCCAGTAACATTTTTCCATTCTGTAACTTTAAAAAATTCTCCTGTTGCAAGTCTTAAGTCTAACTTCACAATTCTGTGATTGCGTTTGGTATCTGTAGTATATCACTTCAACCCTAATTTTTGAAGTGTAGTTGTTATGATTCCATTGAATTAAAGTTACCCCTCCCAATTTTTTTGTATTGCTGTGATCTGGCAGAATGAGATTATAGCAGTCCACTACTTTGGTCATATATCCACATCATTTGGAAGTGAGTTTCTTCAAATCAGATTTGTCATCACATGGAACCACTGTACTGCAGGAGCCAGACTCTGTTGCCACATTTAGAAAGATAGTAGTTTGCCTGATCCCTTTAGAATTACAGTATTTTTTCATGAAATATAGAAACAAAGCTTTTCAGTAAAATCCAACAGAAAAGTACACTGATATAAGTACAATGTACTCATACTTGGGGATCAGACATAATACTGAGAACTAGAGCCATTCTAACAGGTGATATTGAGACCTAAAACACATTTAGGAAAAAAAGGCAGAGAAGAAATGAAAATAGTTTTCTTTTAGACATTTCCTGCAATATATCAACTTTAGGTTATATTACAAATTAAAAAAAAAAAACCAAAAACCAAAACCAAACCCAAACGATGCTATAATACGTCAATAATTCTTTATAAATACCTCAGCCACATAGCTAATTGCATCCTTCAAGTTGAGTTCATGGAAAACATTAAGGATCTGGTCTCTTGATTTTTGAGCAGACCTTCTCATCAGTACTTTACTGAGGAATTTCCTATCAAAATTGGACCACCTGACAATTTAAACAAACTGTGTTAATGGCAACAAGCAATTTTAGTTTCACAGCATTTTTAGTTTAGCATAAATGATATTTTCTGTGAGCGAAGCCCTTAAAAATCATGGTGAACATAGCAGTGTAAAGGATTTGTGTTTTGAAGCTTTTCAATTAGCATTTAAAGAAAGTTAAGGAAAAGCCTGCTACAGAGTTTTGCAGCTGTCACAAAGCATTTAATAGGTTCACTTACCAAACAGTACTACAAAAGCAAGAGTGCTATGATTACCGTATCCCATTTCAGAGTCACTAGGACATTTTATACTCTGGGAGATCATGCTACCTTATTTTTCCACTTCTGATTATGCATTGTTATATTTAATAGCTTCATTCTAAAAGTTTAATTTTCTTTCCTCCTTTGGAAGGGAATCTGCTTTTCCCCAGCTGCATTGTAGGACAGCCAGCCTAGAAAATCAGTTCACAACAACAGTGCCGTTCCAAAAGCACTTACAGAGGGCGTTATTCATGCCATTGATGTACTATGGGGGATAGAAGTGATATGTATTTTCTGTGATTTACACTTCTAAGCTTGTCTGATAGTAAGATATCTGCCATTTCATATTTAGGCTCCAGAAGATACAGGCTGCTTTATTTTCATCTACTTTCCTCAAGATTTTCTCTAAAGGGCATGAGGCAACTTTGGAGACTACTATTCAAAGTGATTCTACCCATCTTGCCCAAGTTGAGTATTTTGAGTTTATGACTTTTTATTCAGATTGTTGAAACCTTTTTGTTGTTAAACATTAGTCACAGAATTGATAGCTTTTCTCTAGCCAGAATATCTGAAAAGCAGTCCCTAGTTCAGGCTGCCACACCTGAGCACATCAGTGAGGATGCTAGGGGCTGCCATTTCTTTGAGGAAGAAGCACTTTCAAGTACATATAATCCAAAAGAAGCAAACTTAAGGTGGCCTAATTCAAAATACATTAGTCATCAAACAACACGCTCAACCATGAATCTATGTTAAGCTACTCCTTCTCTTGTTACTCAGGGAGATTACTTTCTGACACCTAAGAAGTCAAACTCTAATCTGCCACTTTAAAAATATTTAGCTCCATCTTCAAGACAGTATTTCAAAACTGGGGATGTATTCCCCTGTATTATAGCCTGCTGAAATTCATTCCCCAAAAGTAAACTAAAAATTTAGACCAAAAGAAAGAGATTGTTCTATTTGGGATGCCTCGTGAAAATTCTTCACTGCATAAATGAACAAAGAGAAGAGATGGAGGAGACTGTCCCTATAACGAGGTACAGAGAGGCGAGCAATTCTGTTTCAGCTTAGACACAATCTAGCTCCAGCCTAGAAGTTGTATAGTTAAATATACTCAGCTTCTTAGCAAGGGTTAGGGGAGTGCTCTGCAGAAAGCTAACACAACCACATGGCTTTTGGATTGGAGCTGACATGTTTAGTCAGCAGGACATTAGCAGGTCAGAACTGTGACTGTACCTATGAAATGACCTACCTCCAGGGAGAGAACTGCCTAACCTTAAATAACACTCTTAAAGATGTCCAGAGTTAATGTCCTTTTTTCACATTTATTCATCTAGATTATGGAAGTCTGCCCATCACAATGGTAACCCTTCACATGTAGTTTAAAGAAAATGGTGTCTGTATCTTTCAGCTGAGTAATTTTTCTTCTCTCAGGATGAATCAACTATAAGCAAAGGGGGATGGAAATGATTCACAATTTTAATTATTGGTTTCAAACTGATGGGCTTAAACTATCCAAGTCAAAGCACCCTCTGCCTTCACTTTCAGAGGTATTGAACACATCCTTTGTAGAAATAGTATAAACAACTAGCACAGTCATAGCTGAGTTTTTTTAGTGTCTCCACACACAAATAATGTTCATGAAATGGACTACTACAGAGAAAGAGCAACATTAACATTTTAGGTTAAATCTTGTGCAAATGGCCAGTTCTCAAATCTTGAGAGAAGCTGATCCCTGGATGTGGACTGAGACATTTGCAAAGGCCTAATATGAACTGTGGAAGAAAAATAAAAGATTCCAGCTGTAGGGGACAAAAAAACCCTATTTTCTCATTTACTATATTTCCAGTAGTTTCAGTATATAGCCTTTTAAACTACATTTGACATCCTTGCTGTCCCTAAACTCACAGGCTTAAAAAGTCATAATTTACAGATAAGATTTCTTAGCAGTATTTCAACATTCCAAGTTAGTTGCTACTTACTTGTCTCTCAGATAATTATGTCCTATTTGTCCAGAAATGTCTTCTATAGCAGAAAGAATGTGATCAAAGGCCTAGGAAAGCGAAAGTGGAATTGATATCTTTACAGAAATAAAAGACATAATTAGAAAATAGCTCAATTTATGTCAGGTTAGACCAGGTGACTATGCAGAATAATTCTATTGCTGCTAGGCAGATTTTTTTCCCCATTTACAGAAATACTAACTACTATATGCTTTTTTCCAAAGGTCCTGAGCTTTCTAACCAGTTCTTTACAAATTCACTAACTATTCTTCAATTAAAAGGGTGTAAGCAAGAAGGTACTTAAGCCCCCATTTTAACATACAATTTTAAGATTCTTTATTGACTCATTTTACCATCTCCATTTCTGCCCTATGAAGTATATCAGCCACTATTAGTGTCGGTGATTAAATCAGTTGAAAAATTTCCCTAATGTTTCTTTTTAGAAGTTTCAGGAATCCGTACTTCCCTCAGCGTAGAAGTAGGCACCATTCTTTTGATATCTAGGGCAAAATCACATACTGGATATATTAGATGTCTGATAGAAATTCTGAGGTTTATAACTCTTGATTCAAACCAAGGCAGCTGAAGGTAGAATTTGGTCTTTTTCTGTATATGGTTGTTAACATTTCACTCCAAACATTGGAGTGATTACTGCAGAATATACAGCATGCTAGGTTTATAACAACATGGGTGATATGGATTATTCCTGAATATCATATTAATTACCGCCTCAGAAGATATCAGACATGGAAGTGGAGAAAATGTTACTATAAATAAGTTGTCTCACTCCTACTGCCTGAGAACAGACAGTGCTCCCTCTCTCTGAAGGCTGCAATTTATACAGTTCTAGGAGCACTGTGCCTCCTGAGACAATATCTGCTAGAATATTCTAGGAAGTGGTGTATCAGTACATACAACTTTACAAAGTGTTAGGATTAACATTACTGCTCAGCCTACACTACTAACTAACATGTAAAGGTATATCCCATAAATGTAGACAGACTGTATTTCTCCACCTGGGGGAAGAATCCTGATTTTCAAATAGTAAAATATTTGAATGGAGATGGAAATTTGAATTGCTGGATAACAAAAGCATTTATTCAGTAGTCTGTAAAAGAATTCCTCAGAAACAAACCCTGTCAATCATTAAGTTGTTAATTCACTTCAGGTAACTTCCAACATGAAAACAGACAAGATTAGAAGCTCATACAAGAATGTATTAAAATACTCAATGCAGGATAGCTGTGTAAATCTGAAAAGTTTATGAATTAAAGAAGGCCATGAAAGATACCTTATAGTCTTCCATCCTTTAACCTATATTTGTATGTTTTCTTTTACTGAATAAAAACTTTATAATTTTGTGTGAAAGTGAATTGGAAAAGATCATGTTTCAAAATCTTTTAAAAGGTTAAAGAAATGCAGGCACACACAGCATTCACACTGAACTAAAACTATTACCATTAATCTGGAATTTCAGTATATAATTAGCATCTGCACTGGGCACCAGACTACCTTTCTGTGTAATATGCAAGCTACAAAGCCTGCTTTCGTATCTTTTTCATAAATAAACAATATTTAAAAAGGAAAAAGGATTTTACACTTGAAATTTATTTCTCCTCTCCCTCCCAAAAAGAAATTTTCTCTATTTTTTTTTTTCTCTTAAGGCACTCTGTAAGAATCCAAACAAGATACCATAGTTTTGTTTAAAAATATCTTACCCTGCCATGAAGTTTCTCATTCAGTTTTGGCTCTCTGTGTTCAGTTTTCTTCACTTTCAGCCACTGTACCAAAGGCTTGATAGTCAGTCCCTAAGGATTGAAAAATGATAATAAATAATTAGGAATTAGTCTTTGGCTTTCCTCCAGCTGGTCATGGTTATAGAGAAATAGAGCATTTTTATATGTTATATGGTGGTTCTCATACTTCCTCAGTTGATCTCTGTCCCCTTTAGAAGATAAAATAATGCAGTATCCTCACCTCCTGTTTAAAAAGACACCAACCAGTGGAAAAATACATCTTCTATAAGAAAAATATGGTAGTGGAAGGGCTAAAATGTTTCCTATACCATTGAATGGGGTATTTCTGCACGTATCAAGAGTTTCTGACCACAGATAAACTTTATATAACAAACTTGAGAAAAAATTCCAGGCTGGTATATAGTGACATATCTCCATTTAAATTAATGTTGTTTTTTTCAGCCAGAAAGTGCTATTTTGTTTGGATGTTAAATACTTTCTTGTCCCACTGCTTACTGTTATATTTTGAAACAAGGACTTAGGTTCAGGTAGATCAGCTTAATAACTGTATTTGCCCATAAAAAGGACTGTTCCCTATAGTTATTCACATGAGGTGAAGGATGCTTAATCAGATATTAACTTGAGCACTATTAATACCAAGCAGCTAAGACTGAACGTTTTTTAGCACAGAGGAAATTGTGTTTTGTCCCTTGTGGTGCCATATGAAAACATAAAATAGGATCTTTGTTACTAAAATTACAAATTCAATTATGCTTTCAGTTCAGTGAAACAATATGCAACCTTCAGCTGAGAACTGCTTTAAGCATTTGGTACTTTTTGGGGACTCCTTCTCCTTGCAAGAAGCATGCTTAAGAAGTTGAATTACCTGGAAAATAACTGTAAAAAACACAACAATGATAGTTGTGCTGACAAACAGGTTTTTCTCTTTCACGTTTTCCTCATCCAGAAGTACAACCAGAGCAAAAGCAACTGCTCCACGTAGTCCACCATATGACATCACCACCTGGTCTATTATCTCCAACTGGACCATTCTGTAGTGGTTAAGAATCCATGTCTGTAAAACTACACCTATAAAAAACAAATGCCAGCATGTCTAGAAATACCCTTATGAAATGTCAATATCCCAAATGTGTGTAACAGTAACGGTACCACCATCCTGCTTTCAAAACAAAATTCTCTGCACTGTCTACTTCTTCCTCTGTATTGCTACACTGTCAAGGAGAGCAGGCCCCCTTGGTACTTACCCCCTTATGTTCAGCCAAAGGAATTAGATGAAGCTGCTTCTGTCAGTCAGCAGCTCTTGTGAGAGTGCTGCCTTCTGGCATAGGCACTACAGGTGAAATTCTGCTATGCGTTGACCTTTGAAATTTGCAGTTGAGAAAGAATAGAATTTCTAGCACCATAGTCAGTGATATGCACAGGGTCTTTTAACAGAAACAGGTTGATACAGTGTTGATTTAGGGAGTAAGTGTGGTACTCTTTACAAATCACTAAAAATGACATTTATGACATTGTCATGTGGAGGGTTGTATAGTTATGCTAACACTATCTTCAGGCCTACGGGTGAGATGCTGCCTGCTGTAGGAGACCTAAAGCCCTAGAAATCACGTTTCCCAGAGCTCCCACCATACAGAAGGAAACCAGTTTCACCAATCCTGGAGCACAGCATGTGTGTCCCACTGCAGCAGGCCAAGACTGTTAACAAGCACAAAAGAGATATTTCTCTTTTTAGAGAACTTTGAACTTGTGCTAAGGGAAGAGCG